GTGAATGGATATGAGCACGGTAATAAATTCAGCGCCGTCGCGTGAACCCGGCAAATAGGACATTTGCCGGGGCCTCGCTCTTTTAACCATATTTTTTGTAAACTATAATATGTTTAAAATCTAATATAATAATTTATTAAGCAATATTTTTTATAATAATAATATTAATAATATTATGATATTTRATTGTAATAAAATCAATAATATTAGTAATATTAGTTACTAAACAGTGTAAGCTATAAAAATATTTAATAGTTTTTAGAAATTAATTCTTAAATATTTAATTCGCATGTAAAAATAAAAGTATAACATTTAATTTGAATTGATTAGTAAACAATTTATTAAACGTGATTGTGGTCAGTTTTAAAGATTTTTCCAGGGCCTCACAAAATCTAACGACGGCGCTGGTAATAATTATAATTAAGTAGGTATATTAATTATATAGGTACATTGTCAAATATACTTAGAAAATTTTTTAATATTTCAAAATGCTTGTGATTTAATACTGTATAAGTAATATTGCACTCAATAATTTTCAAATCAAAAGTAAATATTATTCTTTTAATAGAAATTTACCATTAAGTTATAACTCGAAAACTTTTCGATCAAATTTCGATTAGGTACATTAATGAATAGATGTATTCATAAGAAAAATCGTCAGATTTATAATTTGCATTGAAACATATATAGGTTCTCATTTTTTTTAAACTGATATTGGTAATTATTTTATTATTTATTGTAGTTATTTATTTAAATTGTATCAAGAATAATACAATATTGAAGAAGTTTTTAACTTTTAAAGGACTAAAAAACTGTACAAATCAATTAAATATTTTCTTACCTCCCGGATTTTATTTATTAACGTTAAAAAAAAATGGTCACTTTCCTWAACTCCTGTTTTAATTAATTATCATGAAATTTTGAAATGTATAAAAAATGATAATGAAATAATAATACGCGTGTCCTGTAACACAATTATATTGTTGCTGATTACGTGAAATCGAAGACCACGCATTTGTATGCTAATGAGTTTCTCATAGAAAAATTAAAAACCAAATATCTAAAATCTTTATTCTTGGGTGTTTGTAACTGTATGAGAAGTGTTAAAATATAATAACCGGTAAACATCACTACGATTGTCAAACGTAATACGATTTCCCAATTACGTTATGACTTATAATTTATGAAAATCTCCCTATATGTTTGGTGAGACTTGTGCACGAGAGGCTTTGAATATGTATTTATTTAATTGAATAAAATAGAGATAATATTTAATATCGATTCTCTTCTACATCTCTATATTCATTTCCCGTCCCTTTTAACCCCCCCAACCCCCACCTCCCATGGAGAACACTTACCAAACAATTATCATTATTTAAATACACTTGCTCCATTTCTTCACAGCTGTTATCACTCACTAATTCGATCAAATATGACCAACTATGACCAAGATGTGTCTGCGAGGCCAAGCATAGGTGTAATAAGAATTATTAAATTTCTATGAGGCAAAGTGAAAGTATCGTTGTCCCACGATCATTGTTGTTATATTATTTTAACAAAAACAATTCGTGTGGGGTCTATTGGGGTACGTCCATGTGGGGCAACCCACCTTATGTCCATCAAGACCAACCCTATTGATGGCAGGGCTCATGGTTTTTCAAACTATATTACTCCCCATCGTTTAATGGCATCACTCATCATATTAGTTCCATTTCACGCAAACCCGTATAATAATTTAAAACGGCTTATGTGTAAATACTAAATAATGATAATATGTATTGCCCTGTGTGTTATGTAACGTTCGATCCGTCCTATTCGCGATTAACCCCACAAAAACCGTGAGATTTCTATGTTTATTCAACTGTTGCCACCAGGCCATCGTTTATTTTATTGTTACTAAACAATAATAATAATTCAAAAATACAAAGAAATCGTTATAATAAGGTGTACACAATTCGTTCAGGTCCATCGGGAAAGAAGCGTAAACCAGACCCGAATTTAAATTAAAAACTTATTAGATGGAGTAACTTACATACTGTACCTATACATGGTCAACAATCGCATTCTCTGACATATATTTTATTCGTTCAGTATGATGGACAATGGATATTAATAAATATATAAGAATCTATATATTTTTAAATTCAATAGAATAATAATTATTATTATTATTGTGCCCTAATCCTAAATATAGAAATAGTAGTTTTAAAAATAAACTAATTTAATAAGAGTTTGTGACAAAGTATCGTATGACAAATATATTATATACTACATCTACAACACACGTCTTATTTTTGAGAATAATTAAGTTTTATATATTCATCACAAAATCTTAGCGTGCCGTCAGGTAAGTTAAGTTATTCAAACCGTTTCACTGCAATAGAAGGTAATAGGTAGGTATATATATTTGTAGTGTCTTAATCATCTGAACGTCACTCTATAGTCTATAATAATACTTACCAAGACCCAGACGACATTAAATTTCATAAAAATTAGTCAACACATCAGTTAAGGTAAATACTGTATTGTAATCAGTAGGTACATACAATTGATCTTTAAAACTGTATTTCAAGAACAACTATATAATACCGTAAGTGACACGATGTAAATCGGGAATGAAAGACAGTAAACATTACTGTATTTTCGGAACGATTACTAAAACTAAAATAATAATAATAA